GAATGCACAAAAACAGTTCAGAACTGCAACCCCACATTTCGCAAACCCCCTCCATTTCCTGTATACCCAATTATTACCAAAAAATGATAACTATGGACTTCATGTAGTGGTTTGGTAGAAATAGGTATGTGTCAGGACAGTACGTAAGCAGCAAATAGAAAGAAACATGGCAGGTTTTATGCTGCAATAAAATTGAGAATATTTATATAACCACCACAAATATTGTTAAGTGACTGGACAGTATGTAAACAGTTTGGTTACGCTGCAATATAAGAGAGAGAGAGAGAGAGAGAGAGAGAGAGAGAGAGAGAGAGATATCTAGGGGAATTTTCCTGGCTTGAGGCCAGAATGACAGGTTCCCAGCTGCAATTTCACTCTTTCTCCAGAGGTGGAAAGGCCACACTTTCCAAAATGAGGACTTTCTATTAAATTTTTTTTTTTAAAAGGCAAGGCTAAAAAGAGAGGTAGAGACGCTGCCAAATGGAGGCAGTAGGTACAGAGTAGGTACAGAGCAGTGGCTTCTTCTTCTAACCCTCAATTCTTCCTTTACCCTCCTCCTCTTCCCCCTCCTTCTTCCTCTTGTCCTCCCCATCCCCTTCCTCCTTCTCTTTGCCCTTCTCCACCACCTCCTCTTACGTGACTATAAAGAGACAGAATCTGCCCCTGTATCAAACATGGTGAAAACAGCCCCTTCCTCTAATTTGTGGCCTGGGTGGTTCCACGTTAACATAATCATAGACTGATTTCAATTTCCCTTCAGTCCTCTTTGTTGTGTTTCTGTTCCTGTTCTCCAGGGACAAGAGAGAAAGGGCATGTGGCAGCACAAAGTAAGAATACAAACCTATGGCATAGATGTCCCGCCCTTTCACAGAGTGAAGTTTTGAAACTCAAAGCAACACTCACCAAAAACAAAATGTCCCTAAACTGCCCACATGCCAACCCCCTGTATGACAGTTTGGTAATTCAACTGCTACCATAGAAGCTAGCAAAAACAGGCCTCTAGTTCATAGCTTGAGCAGTCACACTTTAAAATTTTCCACCCATCATAACTATTTTGTTGTTTTGTTTTTTTTTGTTAAAAAAAATGAAAAGTATAAAACATGGACATCTGTAAATAGTGATTCATTCTTAAATTTTTTATTCTTTGTAAGGCTGTCTCTAACCTGGTGAAGCAAATATAGCCAGGGACTGCAAGGCTGCAAATAGAAAATAGACTACTGAGTGTCAAGGATGTATCACTGGCTGGAGATGGACCAATGTGTGCTATAATTACTAGCCTGTAAGACAATCATGTGCCGAGCTAGCTTGGCACATGATTGTTTTACATCTTTTAGATATTTTTATTTATCTTGAGTGCCTAGTAGCTCTTATTTGTATTTATTTACTGGTGCTGATCACTTATTGTTTTGTAAGTACTAGCCTGCCTTGCGAAACATGTCATATCAGAGAGGGTCTTCAGAGGGGAAATATGAGACTGAAAAGCTAACATTTGGTACAAACTTGGATTACAGAGGACACACACATTGGGGATGTTACAGGTAAAATATAATAATATAATTATTTTAAATACCTTTAACTAATGAAGACCAAAATACTTATCCCTGTTATTCTCAATGTTGCTGCTGCCAACATTTCACCCTCCTGGCAACTTTCCTCCTTTTTCTCCTTCCCTTTGTCAAAAAAATAAATCGATGCTGACTCTTCGATGGGCGAAACTCTTCGCCCACCGACCCATCCACATCCGACGCACTGCCACTGCAGAATGAAAGATTGGCATATGCCGGCCAAATGTAAACAGATCATAACCGTTTGCTATCTGTTTACATTTTGATGGCATCTTTCAAAACGCTATCGCAAGTACTGGCAAAATGAAAACAAATGGGCGGAGTCGGCAGTGACATCATGTCTGGCTCCGCCTATTTGTTGTCATATAATGACAGCCCACTGTCCTTAGGTCATTTCATTTTGCCACACTTGCAATAGCGAATTCACCGCTAGCTCCGCCTAGTCGTTTACATTTTGTAATTTGTCATCTGTCAAACTTTCATTCTATGGTGGCATTTCATCAGGTGCAGACGGGTCGGCGGGGTCGAGTTTTTAAAAATTTTTGCTGAGTTGGTGTTGGTGTGGACAACGCTGGACGTCATGACTGACCTTTGGATTACGTCGGTGTCAATTTTTGGGTTTTTTAATTTTTTATTAAAGGGCTGTTTTTTTCAATTAAAGTATTTTTTCTTAAAGTGCGGGCTCTTTATTTACTTTTTACTTTTACCATTCAGGGTCAGGAATGTGGTGGAAGAGGCCCTTATCCTCAATGGCATGGGGACAAGGTGCTTTTCCTGGGGGACCCCTGGAAAGTCACCCTCCCAATGCCGAGGGCATGTGGCCTGGTATGGTGCACGGAGGGGCGCTTGCTCGTCCCTCCTTTCCTGCCCTGCCAGGCCTGTGCTTGGATTAAGGGACTGGTTGGGAATTTTAGGGGTGTTTTTTTGCCCCATTTTGTGGGGGTGGAGTTCCGCCTTTAAATTCCTACCAGACTTAAAGGGCCTGGTATGACTTTTGGGGGGAACCCAATGCACTTTTTTTATTTTTAACCCAGTTCCTCCTAACTTTTTCTACCAGACCTAAAGGTCTGGTATGCATCAGGAGGGGGACCGCACATTTTTTTCTTATTTGTTTACATATGCAGGGAGAACGGTCTGGTTCGGCACACTGTTCTCCCTGATTTGGCTGTGTGTTCAGCTCAGCCGAGCCGAACCATATGCGTTCAGCTCAGCTAAGCTATTTAGCTGCCTTTGGCTGCTGTACGGGCTATTGTGAATAACACGTACAGCAGCGCTTCGGTTCGGCCGAAGTGAGCCGAAGGATTAGCCTAAGCTACGGCTATATCCTTCGGGTCTTTAGTGAATAACCCCCATAATGATACCAGCCCGATTCTGGGTTAGTGAAGTAATCATTTTAGACAATATAGGCAAAATCCATGTGAGTTCAAGGATATCATCTTAAATCTTTAATTTATGTAGGTGACAAAATAAGTAAAACATGGCCACACAATTATCAGATATGTTTGATGATTTGGTTCTATTTATGCTTTTAAGATTTGTAATATTTTAATTCAAAATTACCTGATAAACAGTACTCTGTTTTGGAATATAGAAGAGCCATTTAATCTTGTGCATGTCTCATTGCTCAAGTATTGTCAATGTGCCTTGCCTATTCATATATGATGATCTGTTACAAGCCAATTTGGAACAAAAATATGAAAGCGCACCGCTGTGATATGATCGGATCTATCACTCGATAGCTGTGTGGGGGCTGGTGTGCATAAACTCTTCAAAAAAACGGGAGAGGAGCCCCGTATGGCATATTGATCAAAACACAGTATGTAGAAGAGTGCAACTACCTCAATAACTAAAATAAAATGAGTGGATAGACAATTGCTGTGCAGCCTGCTATAACTGGCTGAATAATTGGGATAAAATGTGTGACTTACAATTAGGATGTCATCCGTCGGCAAACGGAGTCCCTGCAATCACGTAGTGGTAACGATGCTGATCTGTATGCTACTGGTCTGGAGTGTCCTGGTTATCCCCGGGGTGTCCCCAGAAACCGCGTCATCGGCTGGCCAGGCCGAGCGACGGCCTCTGGAGCAGAAAAGGGAACCTTGCCCGACAGTAAAAACCTGCACTTAAGAGTGTATATCGGTGCGGTGTGTGGCGCGAATACTGGGGGGTCAGGCACACTGTCTCCGTCGGTGCTCGTGAGTCCAGGGGAGATGTACTATGGGATGAGACTTCACCCCTGTGGGTTGAAATAGCGGCTGCGCGTTTCGAGGATAACCCTCTTTATCAAGCTTTAGAGCAAGTCTGCCGCGGGAAAAGGAATAACTTTTAAAGTTGACAGGGGGGAGGAGTCAAGTCCGAAAAAATGCCATGATAGGCTAAGCCGCCGGGAGGCGGACTCACAGTCACGGGGGCACTCAGCGGTGGATTCATACAGAGCTTTCACGCTCCGGACTGATTATCATTTTGGGACCAGTGTATATTTATTATTTTTAGTTGTATAGGCATATGGGAAATCATGTTTAAAAGACTGGTTTCTCTACACTTCTAATTGAAACATGCATATAAATGAAAAAACTTGTATTCTTATACGTATATGAACAAACTGTTTTAATATTAAATAAAAGAGTTAAAATGTCACATTTATTTTCAGAATAGATAAAAAATTAATAAAAAGTTTTTTGTTTTTCTGGTATATATTAGGGATGCACCAGTACCATTTACTGTACTCACAGTACCATTGCCCATGTACTCACAGATACAATTGCTGATACATTTTTGTTTAGTGTCATGTGACAGTTTTTCTAAAACAATACAGACAAATAATTTCTGGACAGGGCTGCAACTTCTGCAACCCTGGTAGTTCTCCTGAAAATGGCAAGTGTCAGCACTGGTATCTGAACATCCCTAGTAAAAACAGCTTTTGCTGCAACATTCACCTTTAAACCAGATTTCCCTGGCACTACATTTTTCTGCCAGTAGATGTCAGTATGATGACCAGGATTATTCAACCCACTTCCTTGGGGTCAGGTCGTTCTGGTCACACCCCACCCTGTAACTGGACTGTGAAGGAGAAGCAGCATAGCAATAGCCCTCTCATCCTATTAGCATGTTTCTTGTCAGGACATAAACTGATTGGCTCCTTGAGTAGCATATGAGAACTGCTTCTTCTCATATGCTAGCCCTGCTCTATAGGTACTGCAAGAGGCTGATACCAGGTCATATTCAGGTACTTACAATGCTTGCATTTACACATATATTTAATGATGTATCAATGATCACAAAGCTACATTAATTTGTGTTTTTTTTTATCTGGCTAGAGTTCAGCTTTAACATTAAAAGAAAGACTTGTGTAGCAGTTATTATATACTGTAAATTATATCATTTTTAACAAAAGTGGAGTGAGCCTTTAAGTGTGAACATTATCATCATGGAGATTTAAAACTCGCAAACTGTGAGCCTCTTCTGGTTACACGCCTTGTCATTCCATGTTCCATCTGTGTACATTTCAACACAATTTTCCTTTCCTTTCCCGCTTGGTTCATTTTTTCTCCAGTGGGTGTAGTTTAAATGATTTCCATCATTATAATGGTATTCATCCAAATAATGGAATTCTCCAGTAGCTGGCCCCTCCAGTATTCCCAGGTATGCATATCTGTTAAATTCCTTGAGAATTGTTAAGAGTGCATTGTTTTCTTCTTCATACATGGGAGTAGCAATGCTTCCATGGACATCCTTACAGGTGGTTTTGGAAGCTTCAAAGTCTACCTCTTTTCCATTGGTAGCTAGTATTTTATTATTAACTTGTTGTATTTTTCCTTGCAGTAGGAGAACTGAAATATTAAAAACATGGTATTTAAAAAGAATATCCCGGGTAACGGAATGTAAAGTCTGCATTTTACAACATGTTAATAATTATTTATAAAATATTTCATTTAATTAGAAATATTCTATGTACAAAAAAAATTCATGTGTAGTTAATTCTGATCACATGACCCAAATGTCAGTTATACTGTTAAATGGAGAAAAGAGAATTTGTCTAATAATAATATCTACACATTTTTCGTTTAAATACATGTATTACCAGACTTTGCATGAAAGTGTGTCTGCAGCATATTTGGGGGAGTTTTACCAGACTTTGCATGAAAGTGTGTCTATAGCATATTTGGGGGAGTTTTACCAGACTTTGCATGAAAGCATGTCTATAGCATATTTGGGGGAGTTTATAAAATAATTTTAGAGGAATTTTCTTTTCATATGATCGGATGATTGACGTGAACATTCACACAATTTATTGTGTGAAGATTCTCAACTCCTTTAATAAATCAGTCTCCCTGCTGGGGAGATTATCCCTGCCCTTGTCACTAGGACGGAAAGTGACACAGAATGCTAAATTAGTTCACAAAAACAGTAGGTGAGGGGAATCCTTCCAATTGAAACACCTGATTTATAGGTGAGGGGAAACTTTCCAGTAGAAACAATTGATTTAGGTGACAACTGTCTAAGAGGGATTTTTTTAACTCATTTTGGAAATACTTCTTTTCACCTCTAGCTGTGTCTTGGGGGCAGAAAATAAAGGTACTTTTTCTCAAAAGGCCTCAGACCGCAAAAAACAGAAAACACTTTAAGGGTTTTATTCATTTCTTAGTCTGTGCAAAGCTCTTTTTTTGGCTTTTGCCAGTATATTTCTCAATTATTTTCTGAAGCAGCCTTACTGTATGTGAATGTGCATGTTTTAAAGCACTCTGTTCCACCATCCTAGCTGGAAAAACACAAACCAGGCACCAAAAATCCAGCATGTAGGACTCCAACACTCCTTAACACAAAGCTTTTCATGTAAACAGGGAAGGAGCCAAAATCCATGATTCACACTACATGCAGCATAACTATTGCTTCTTTCTTTTGTTTTTAAAATATGTAATTGTGATTAATACCTCCTTCCAGTTTGGTGATGCGATTGTTTATGTTTTCTAACTGAGAAAGCACTTCTGGATCCAGTGATGCAGGAATTCCTGTCAATGATATTAACATTACCATATATCATGGATAAAACTGTATACACAATACATATCATTGTCATTCTACATACTGTTATACTGTTGAAAAAATCTTTGTCATCACATGTACTTGTATGTAGAATTTATCTCAGTACATCAACTTAAGAGTAAGGCAGGACAGGAATGCCAAATTTCCCATTTGGATGCAGCCGCTGTCACCCGTTCAAGTTAATGACTGGGTGACAGTGGCTCCATCTGTAAGCAGAAGTCCACATGTAATCATATGTCATAGGATTACATGAGGTATGAAATAGATCACTGTCCCTGGACTGTTCCTGGACTGTCCTTGTCCCTATTGTACATCCAGGGACAGTGATCTATTCCACATTTAATAATCCTATCAAATACAACTACATGCAGACTGTCTCCTACAGATTCAGCCACTGTAACCCGATTATTACCTTGAGCGGATACGAAGGCCACATCTAAACGGAGGATATGGGATTTGGAACCGTAGGTTCATGCAACAGGAATCCCAAATCACATAGGGGTCTATTCACTAAGCTGCCGTAGGCAGCCGAGTGAACGACCGACATGAAGCAAAGTGAGCCGAACGCTGTTCGGCTATTCACTTCAGGCTGGTACGGCTGATTTCAGCCGTATATCGGCTGAAATCAGCCGTGCATTGGGTGGCTTTTCGCGTGCTCAGCATGTTAGGCCTACCCGAAGTGCAGAAGGAGTTAAACTAAGCCGAACCGAACTAAGCTAAGCCGAACCGAACTAAGCTAAGCCGAACCTCCGGCAGGCTACTCGCTGCTGTTCGGTCTATTCTTATAGATGCCGAACAGCAGTGAGGGAATAGCCGCATGCCGCTTAGCTCGGCTATGTCAGATCAAAAAAAGCAGTGTTTCTCTCCTGGGCGGCCGGGAGCGGGAGACTCCCGGAGCGCCGGGAGAGTTGTCTGGAGATCAGTGTCCCTGGTTAGTTGGTAACCAGGGATGCTGATCTCCCTGCAAGTGGCAGGAGCCAGCCGTAAGATCACAGCTGGCTCCATCCAGCTGTCAGAAGTATGCTGTCGACTGGCCAATGGCCGGCTGCCCAGCCAGCTTCGGCTTTCACCTCGCTCGGCTGACTTTGGGAGCTGTACGGGCTATAGTGAATAGCCCTTACAGCAGCCCTTCGGTTCTACTGAACTGAAGGGGTCCTGGGGCCGAAGCTAGCTGAAAGATCAGCCGAAGCTACGGCTAGATTCTTCGGCTCCTTCGTGAATAGACCCCATAGTGTGAATGTAGCCTAACTCCACCACTTACAAAAGACAGTTTGCTGCTTCATAAGCAACTTCCTATGCATGGGTTGCCTTACACAGTACACAGAGCCTAATATACTTTGACCTCTTGTTTATCTCTGATATGGATGTTTTAATGTTAGAATTAATTTTTTGCCCTTTATTTTTATCCCTTAGACCACATCAGCTATAAAAAAAATATAAAATGAAAGTTTGTTACAACTCCAGGCAAACAGCTAAATACACGAATCAAAGCATATGTGAGAGATCTGTTTTATCTGCCAAAGGAGTTCTGATATTTACACAGTACAACACTGTCTGGCAGGGCAGGAGACCTGATTTTTCTCTGATGCAGTTAAATAACACTTACAAGTCTTGTCCCTCCCTCAGCCTGTGATTGGGCAGTGAAAGATGTAGAGACTGATTAGCTCATCTCTCTGCTTTCTCTTCCTATCATCATCTTCCTTGTGAGCACTAGAGGAAAACTGGGCAGCTTCTCCCTCTTCCATGTTCTGTATAGAAACCACAAGAGGCTGATACCAGGTCAAATACATTGCTGGCATTTAAAAAAAATAGATTTAGGGATGCATTGATAAATAAAGAGTTGTATTAATTTGCTTATTTTATGTCTGCCTGGAATTAGGCTTTAATAGTCAAAGCATTTTCATGTTTTATATACAGTATATGTTTAAAAATATTTAAACGATGTGAAAATATTTGTGATTAAAGAAGACAAAATCTAACTTTTCAAGGAAATGGTGGATTATGTTAGTTGGGCTGAATGATTAAACTCAAAGGGGGTGATTTACTAACCTAAACACACGCACGCACCAGGTGCGTGTGATTTTCACACAGCAAAACGTATTTATCAACCAAAAAGTCTCTAAAAGCATATTTCCACTAATGCCATATATGGAAAAATCATGCACATGATGCATATATAATGCTGCTTCACAGTTTAGACAAAAATGGTTAGCTCGTGCATTTACATTCCTGCATTCATCAACGCAAGCAACACAACATAGAGCTAATTTAAACAACATAACCTTGCAATTCATGCTTGGCTTTGCACAACACACCTGCTGGGTGTGTACACACTACAAAGGTGTTTAGATTCCACCCATAGATCATGCTGGGAGGGAACACACTACAGAGGTGTATACATGTTCGTGGTGTGTTTATAAGGTTAGTAAATCAACCCCAAAGATTCATACTCAGGACTTGCTTACACATGTACTTAAATTGTTTGTAGTTGGTGGTAACTAGGTCAAACTCACCACCTCATTATATTGTACAAGGTTTGCTAGCAGGAAATAGAAAGGGCCGCTGGGCTTTGGCCTTGTCTTATTTTTCTTCTCATTCATAGCTGTTTTTTCAGTGACAGTTATTGATTTAGCTGACCAATGAGTATTCAACAACAGGAAAAATAATGTTTACTGCTTGCAGTTATTTACCTGGAAGGCCAATTTCTCCTTTTTCTCCCTTTATTCCTTGTACACCAGTTGGTCCCATTGGCCCTGGAAGACCATCTCTTCCTGGTGGTCCTTGATTTCCTCCTGGAGGACCCATTGGCCCTGAAATGTAAAATATAAGTTTAGATATAGAGACTGTATTTTGGAGAATCCTGTAACTAAAATAAGCCGTCTCTCTTTCTATTTAGAATATTTGCCTAAAGATGAGGTGGTTGTAATAGTTTTCTATTTTCAGGCCTTTTCTCCTTATTTGCATCTGGTAATCGTGCAAATAATGCCTGGTCCTGGGTGGCTACCTTTACTCCTCCAGTATATCCCTTAAAGGAGCAATGGTTGCACTAAGCCTGGACTTTAAATATACATTCAACATCCTGTCCTGCACTATCGCTCAAAATCAGTGTAGTAAGGTGCATGGCCAATGGTGGCACCGTATCAATCTAAGGCAGAACTAGCCAGCACTCCTTAGACACTATGGGGGAATTTATCAAAAATGGAGCAGACACAATCTGGAGCAGTTGCCAACAGTAACCAATCAGCTTCTCTCTTCAGTTTGTTCAGTTTAGCGTTGAAAATGAAAGCTAAAAGCTGATTGGTTGCTATGGGCCACTGCTCCTTACTCCATCTGCCCCAGTTTTGATAAATTCCCCTCTGTGAGGTGTTAACTAACGGTGTTAACAGCATACTGTATATTTGCAGCAAATCTATGTGGAAGCCAGACTGCCCCACCAAGGCCCCTCTGTATAGTGTGATCCCTAATCTAACAAAGCAGGTATGCCAGAAGGTAACCAATTCATCCTTAAACACTCCACATCCAGAGCATTTTTTTAATTTTTGCACACACATATTAAAATCTGAATTTTTGGCTAGAAAACTGATTAAAACTAGCAAACAGTTAAATTTTCTGAAAGCAGAGGCCCTATAGAATAAAAAAATTCTAACTGCAATTTTTTAATATTACACAATATTTGTGCAAATGTTCATTAAATTAATTTTTTTAAAAGAAAAAATACACTAAAATGAATTTTAGTTCTCACAAACAAAATACAACCTATTTTTTTTAATAGCGTTGTGTTGTGTAAAGAGATACCAAACATGTCAAACCATAAAACCACACTCTGGGCAAAATGATTATTTACACACCACACATTATCATTATAAAGTAAAAATTGTTACCATGCAGCAAGATATCCCCTGCGCACAACGCCCCTCTTCACTATCCTCCATTCTTAACATGTCTTTACTTTTATTAAAGAATACAAGACATTCTGTGACTGGAGCAGAGTAGGGGGCAGGGATGTGACATCTCTCCTCTTGCAATCACAGAATGTTTTGTATTCTTTAAAAAATACAAGACATGACATTTGCTTAATGGAGGATAGTGAAGAACGGCAAGTAATGTGACTTGAGTGCTGTACAGCTCTTAATGTGCCTGTGTTCCGGGTAAGTGCGATTGCACTGTGGGCGGGGGGCATGGCTGCGGTGCCATTGACTTCAATGCACCACCACGCCCCCTCCCGCCCCTAAATGCAGGTGTTTTGTCATTGGTAGATCTCATTGAGCTCATTAGAACTCATTAGAAATGGCACATTTCTATTTAGCTTTGGAGTGTGGAAAAAAATGTGCAGTTTATATTTTTAAAATACAATAAAACAAATATGGTATATGGACGTACTTTTTAAAGATTTATGGGAAGCTTCATTTGATAAAACACTTAACCCATGCAGCTTTCTCTATTAGAAAACCAGGAAGAGGCATTAGGAAGAGACACCTGCCTGGTCAATGATGCAGCTGGAGATGGCAGGGTGTGGTCAAAATGAAAATGGCATTCGTAAGTTTCCAAATGCCATTCGGGTCTGTGAGCCGAGGTGTCATATGAAAAACATTATGACACCTCAGCTCACTCATTCACAAGGGGGGGGGGGCGGCATCTGGGTGCCCCCTTAATTAAAGGGGTTCCCCCGATGCAATTCTTTTTGTTATTTGGATTTCGGATACGCCTGAATTTTCTTTTTGGAACAAAGTCACATGACCATCGCTGTAATGCAACCCCCAACAGCCATCAAGAACCCCATCTGATTGGCCACAGAACAGTTACATGTTAGTTTCATTTTGAACAAGATTCAGACAGATCCGAATTTTCATTAAACAAGCATTCGGATTTATTCGCATTCAGACGCGTTAGAATTCAGAAATTCAGTTGCATCTGAATGTCCGAATTTAATGAAACTCATACAAATATCCATTCTGAACAAAACGAAATTGACATGTCTACAAATGTCTCTAGTCTGCGTGACCCCATGCTAATCCTCTTCCCCGTTTATGTCCTATAAAGTAAGCCTCTGAAACCCCTTTACTTGAGGTCACAGATGGTGATTCTTGCGTACTGTGCGTAGTGGGGAGAAGAGGTGGAAAGGAAAGAGCAATATGATGAAGAAGGAGGAGTGCTGAAGCTGTTGACTGGTATCATTGTATTTTTTCCCACTGAGCTAAGAAGTGAACAGTCACTTCTCCTTTATGTCATGTGACAGTTGTACTTTCCAGCACAATGGGCGAAGAGGGTTCTTTACAGTAAGAGCGGTTAAGGTCTGGAACTCACTGCCATCGGCAATGATTTCAGCCAAGAGTGTAGATTTGTTCAAGAAACGTTTGGACAATTTTTTGAGGGACCGTAACATCCAGGGATACCAGTATCCCTAAGAATGAGATGTGACTCGAAGCAAGCCGATGTACGGCTGAGATTAGCCGTACCAGCCTGAAGTGAATAGCCGAACAGTGTTCAGCTCACTTCACTTCAGATCGGTCATTCACTTGGCTGCCCTCAGCAGCTTTGTGAATAGACCCCTATGTAACTATGTATACTTTAAAGCCCTGCTTTACAAATATCGCCTTTATACTCGCCTTTAATCCAGAGCTGACCCCCACAGTAAACTCCTATTGTCCCAAGGTGTCCTCAGTCTTCCAGGTTGATTGATGCCCAGCATCACTCAACAGAGAAGACTAAGGACCTGCTGTGAGTGCAGGGCGTTATGGGACTTAGGGTTGTCACCACAGCAGTCTGCACTCAGTCTGATGATGTCATCACATCAACTCCATTCTCTGCATTATCAAGGACTGCCACATCTGAAGAAGAAGCAAAGAGGAAGATGACCCTGTGGCATCATGTGACCACCCTGACAACATGTGCAAAAAGAAGGTATAGAAAAACAAAATACATCAAATACTGCCACGGGGGGCTTCAGGAGGGGAGGGGGGAGCATGAAGCCCTGAGCTGGCCTTTAACTTACAAATATATTTTAACTGAGAAAAACTATTACTGATGCCTTATAATTTCTTAAAATACTAACAATCTGCTATAGAAGAAAGGTCTTTGATGTTTGATACATTTTGGAGTAAAAACCTTCTTCCCAATAGGTAATCAAGAGGGAAAAATACCAGTGTTGATCTAGTTGTTCTTCCCATTGTTTGGGAAGGAGTTTCCATACTGTACTAGTACAACAAACATTCAGTCTTATCTGTAACAGCAAATGATGCAATGTCCAGGCACTTGGTGTCCTAAGATTTTTGAAACTCTCTAAATATTTTTTGCTTAAACATTGGCAATGTTTTCTAATCTATTCCTATCCTCTCCAGGATAAAGTCTGTTTGTTTTGGACTTAGTAGAGCAATTGCAACATTCATTTCAGAAAACCTCTTAAAAACACTTGTGCACTCAAGTAAGCGTCTGTTGAAGATAAATAAATTACAAAATACAAAAAAATGTTTTGTCTTTGAGGTTGGTCACTGCTAGATATATATGTATATTTTTTTATTAATATAAAGTGACTCCACCACTATATTTATATGTAGTAAAATTTGGATTATACGTATATGTCCTGTTGTATATTTTAGCTGCTATGATTTGTTATGTTGTTCTTTTGGTCTTCAGTAAAAAGGAAAAGTTTAAAATGACATAATACTGTATGCTGCTAAACAAGCATAACAAGCACAAGCAAGTTTTATAGATATATTACCTTTATACTTATTTTATACAGTTTGCATACTGTAGTTTGTGCTAAAAAGTTAACAACAAACAGTAAAAAGTGAACTTCTGTCAGAACTGGAAATAATTGCAGAAGACAAATGAGTGTGTAGCATTTCCCTTAGGGCCTTTTCACACCGGATGCATTAAAGGCTGCCCTAGCAGTTTTTTCCAGTGCAGCCCCATTGCACAGACAAGGCAATCTGCCATGTTTTTAATCAGTTCAGTACATGTAGTCCTTTTTGTTTAGCACAGCTTGGTGCAATGCAGTATAACTTCATTGCACTAAGGGGTCTATTCACGAAGCTGCCGAAGGATCTAGCCATAGCTTCGGCCGATCCTTCGGCTAGCTTCGGCCTATGTTGGATCGGCTGAGTCAAACTCCTTCTGCACTTCGGGTCAGCCGAACATGCTCAGCATGTTCGGCTGATCCGAAGCCACACGAAGCAAGCCGATGTACGGCTGAAATCAGCCGTACCAGCCTGAAGTGAATAGCCGAACAGTGTTCGGCTCACTTCACTTCTGATCGGTCATTCACTCGGCTGCCCTCGGCAGCTTTGTGAATAGACCCCTTAATAAGTTGTGGCTGATAGAACCTAATGAAACGCCACTTTTAATAAAGTGACATTTGAATAAAGTTCTAAAAAAAAAACAAAGCATGCTGTTAAGGTTTAAAGTAGGCAGATATAAAAGACTTCTATTTAACCTAGTTGATAATTTAATAAGGAATTATACAATTACTATGTAGTTATTTAAAAATACTTCAATTACTTTAAAGAAGAGCTCTGAGAATGTAAAAAGTTATATTTGCAGTGGGGCTATGTCTGCACTGCAAGGGTTAAGTGCTTGTTTTGTCTAGGAGGCTCAAATGAAGCAGATATACTCACCCCATTCTCGGTCCTGCTGGGCTGCTGCACCAGTTCCCGCAGCCTCTTCTCCATTTGTCTAAGGACCACTGACATCATCACGTCTTATGCAGGTCCATTGATTTGCATTATACGTAAGGATGACAAGGGACATATCACAGCCGGAGCGAAGGAGGAGAGGTGAGTGCGGACCATGAAACTACTTTATTTCAATTTGCAATAGCCAATAGTAAACTAGCATTGTACCCGGCCCCTGCTGCAGTTTCCCATCAGGTCCATCAGCAGAGAGCGGGTACAATGCTAGTTTACTATTGGCTATTGCAAATTGAAATAGCCAATAGTAATGTCCCAATGCTTTTCTATGGGAAAATATTTTTTTTTTCTTTATTCTGAGATCGCTCGTGTCAGAATAAAGAAAAAAAGACACATCAGTGCTTCTCTCCTTGGCGGCTGGGAGCGGGAGGCTCCCAGAGCGCCCCGGGAGAGTTTTTTTTTTACAGGAGCAGAGCCGCCGGACAATAGGAAACTGTTGGGCGGAGCTAGCTGTCACTGCTAGCTCCGCACAATCGTTTTCTATTTACTTTTAAAAAATGTTTTCACTCTTTTTCTGTTCTGCTCGGTACCTCTGAGGGACCGAGCAGAACAGCCGAGCCAAATGCCGCTGAGCGGCATTCGGCTATTCTCTCACTGCTGTTTGGCATCTTTAAGAATAGCCCGAACAGCAGTGAGTAGCCTGCCGGAGGTTCGGCTCAGCCGATCCAGATGTTGGATCGGCCGATTCGAACTCCTTCTGCACTTCGGGTCGGCCGAACATGCTGAGCATGTTCGGCCGACGCGAAGCCACTCGAAGCAAGCCGATGTACGGCTGAAATCAGCCGTACCAGCCTGAAGTGAATAGCCGAACAGTGTTCGGCTCACTTCACTTCAGATGGGTCATTCACTCGGCTGCCCTCAGCAGCTTCGTGAATAGACCCCCTTGTCACACACATATGTATGCATTATCACTTGAAATGTTTGTCAACTGTAAAATGCAAGAAAGAAAAAGGAAAACAAACTTTTTAAAAAAGTCCATTAAAGGAAACCAGAAACTAGTACTACCTGATGCCATTTTTCATAAACAAAACAAATAGATTTACTAGAAAGATTTTATTTGACAGTTACAAATACAACAATTTTCAAGCATAAAATGTACATTTTACCTACAAATATTTACATGTTAAATAATGAGCAGACTGGTTCTCAAAGCAGGTGAATCAGCAATATGGAAATGTCAGCATTCACATAAACACATGTGAAATAAATATACATAAAGTGTACCCAATCTACAAATAATCATACAATACATTTTCAAACCTTTGTGAGACAGATCTCAAAACAGGTTCAGCTTTTGTTACTGAGCAAATCTTTCGGATTCATTCATTGCTATTTTTATTTATAAGTTTGTAAATATAAATTCTATATGACTTCTATTTACCCTAATATTATACAGATGTATTTTATTTAGGTATAAAGGGACACAGTGCAGTTAAAATACAATTCAAGGCAATCGAATTAGGAGGGCACCTTGTGTGGTAGCTTTCAAACTAAAAGGGAAGAGGAAGTAATATAAAAGATAGTAACTGTGCAGGGATGAGTTCATGGAAAAAGTTCATTTTAGATGTTAGGTAGAGGCAGGATTGTATTCCCTGAATAGATGAGTTTTCATGGATCACCTAAAGGCAGACAGAATATGAGATAACTGAACAGATTGAAGTAGAGAGTTTTAAAGGGTGGTAGAGGCTCTGGAGAAGTCATGGAGGCAAGCATGAAAGGAGGTGAAGAGGGAGCTAGGGCCAGAGAGCAGGGAATTTTGGAAGGAGAAAAGAGGATGGTTTAGATAATATTTTGAGACAAAGTTGGTGATGTAGATGGGGCAGTGTTGTGGATGGCTTTGTATGTTGTTGTTAGTATATGTTGTTGTTAGTATTTTTTGTTTTTTAGTTGGTTGAGCAGTAGCCAGTGATAGGATTGGAAGAGAGGGGTGGTGGCCATGGAGGAGTATGGCAATGAACATTATTCTGGCAGCATCATTCATGATAGATTAAAAGGGAATAGCCTGTGTAGGGATAGGTCAACGATGTGAGAGAAAGCAAACAATGGCATGAATTAGTAGCTTGGTGGTGTCATTGACTAAATGAGGGCATATTTTGTAATTGTTAGAGGTGAAGGCAGTAGGATATTACTAATTTACAAACATTCACTTTGCAAAGTATAGTCTTTACTTCTTTAGTAAATTAACCTCAATATACGGTTACTCTGTCCCTTTATTAATGTTAGGACTGTGTTTCTTAGAAGCTTTATCTTACATTTATGCACAGCACAAAACATTATAGGCATTTACAGACTTCTGTCAGTGGCTGAATTCAGCGTTGAACTTGAACATTATGAAAATTCACAGACAATTATGTTTCTCTGGTCACAGCTCTTATCAATCCATTGTCCTTGTTCAGTTATTTCTACACAATTTTCATTTTTTCCTCCATTTGGTTCCTTTGTGAACCAATTTTTGTAAGAAATTTGATTGCCATTGACATATACAAAAGCACCTTCTTGTTTTTTGTCATTTATTCCAAGAAAAAATCTTCGGTTCCTTGCTTTGACAACCTGAAGAATGGCGGCATTTTCAGCACTATTCAAAGGGGCTGGCACTGTGCCTTGTGCCCCTTGGCAAATGGCTTGGGCAGTGTCATAATTACCTTCTTTTCCATTAGCTACATATATTTTGTTTCCTGATATCACTGCTCCACTTTGGAAGTAGCATGCTGTTGAAGAAAATACAGTTTTATGAAGAGATTGACAACATTTCCCAATACCTAAATAACAGCAGATATACATATCACATATTAATATATATTTCAAAATTAATATCAAATAAAAAAAAATTTAGTTTAGTAGAGTGGGGAATAGCTAAAACCACTGTGAGATTTATATTTCTGTTATTGCCTCTGTTGCAGATTTGCTTTCACTTTCTTTCTGGTAAAAATGTTACCAGGACAGAAGGTGAGGACAAAGCTCTATAACAAAGCACTATATAGCATTGAAACATGGATTCTAATTTTTTTCCCAGTCTATCCAATATAAAAAAAAATTAGTTTTGGGCTTGACACATACATTAACCACTTGAAAACCAGGGTGTTAAACCCCCTTCCTGGCCAGGCCATTTTTCAGTATTCAGTCATGCAACATTGTACTAAAAAACATTTTATACAATTTTTTGGAGACACAGAGCTTTCTTTTGGTGGTATTTAATCACCACTAGGGTTTTTATTTTTTACTACATACCAAAAAAGTACCCTAAATTTTGAAAGAAAACCTGTTTCCCTGTGAAATGTTATGAAACATTTATTATCACCACATTTTTTGGTACAATATAAAAGACAGGTCATGTCGGGTAAATAGACACCAAACATGTCAAGCCTTAAAATTGCACGCGCCCGCGAAATCGCAGAAAACGACCACACCCAAAATTGGCCATAGGCGACGCTTTATAAGCTTTGTCTGCTCATCAGCTTAGTGCTATCAGTGTTTAATGGCCCTAAAATTATTGCTCTCACTCCGACGTTCGCGGTGATATGTAACATGTAACATGTGCGGCACAATAGGCGGAATTGTGGTTTTCGCACGAAGGCGCATGCGACACATGTTTGCGTGTGTATGTAAGCTTTTTTATTTTTTTGTGCTTTCATTTTTTAAAAACTTTGTTATTTACACTTAACTGTATTGCTATCACATAGGGGGCTAAGAAACGCCTATGTGACAGCCAATTCACATAATAAGTCCTCTTTATGGAGACATCAGGGGTCTCCAAGACCCCTAATGTCACCTAGGGACCCCCAGAGAAGCTGATGAAGCACAGATCGGCTTCAGCAGCTTATCACTGGCATCTGTTACCGGAGAGTGGCACTGAATGCAAAAGTGATGTAATATACATCACTTGCTGCATTCAGGGACCGGAGAGGAAATCAAAGAGAGCTTGTGTACAGATCTTCCTTTGATCTCCAGTAAGAGAGTCGTTGTGCTGGTCCCAGCTGCACCGGGCACAGCGGATCTCGGTACCGGAAGCGGCGACGGTGGGGTGGGCACACCCGCAACTACTACATCGCTGGTTGTTTACATTGCTGACAGTTTCCCCACTCGTGTGCGAGCTGGGTGACGCGCACGAGTGGGGGGGGGGAGGGGAAGGAGGTCTTAAGACGCCCTCCTGCTCCTATAGGGCTCCCGTCCAGCCATTCAGGAACGGCCATGGATGAGAGGTGGTTAACACAGAGAATGTGTACCCTTTTGTTGCCACTGACATATGCCATACGTTGATGGCAGCAGAAACCTATAAGCAGACTCCCGGTGGCTATGACCACCAGGAATCTGTTTACATGTGTGAAGCCAACTCTCCACTTCCACAGACTAGCAAACATACAGCCCCCTGCTGTGTTTCCTGTGGCTTACTGCTCTTCCTGCAGCATTGTGGGTGTCAGCAGAGAGAGGAGAGTGAGGCCAGCGAAAGGAGAGAGGAGAGTGAGGCCAGCGAAAATCCATAATATATTGTGTTTCTGGCTGTGAAAATTATACAAGTGTATTTTGTACTGAAAATGTGGGTTTGATAAACAGTTGTGCTAAAATCATGTGATTAAAAAAAATTGCAGCTATCAACCTTTTGTTCGACAGGGTCCCTGCTTTCAGGAAATATCTAATTCTGGGGGCATGGGGGTTGGTTCATAGGGCAGAAAAATTTGAAAGTTAAAGTAACCAATACAAAAAAGCTTAACATCTTTAACCTAAACTGAATTATAATTGGTTGTTATCAGTTACTGCAGTATGCACGTTCATATTAAGTTTCTTTGTATATTTGTAATATTTTACATCTAAAACTAAAAGTTAGAGGCATATTTATAAAACATTGACTGGCATATTTTCAAGTGAATATTTTGTTACACATTTGCCAGGTTAATATTTGTTAGTCACATTTACTGCTTTTATAATATGGTGAATGTGCACCCGGGGTAAGTGAGAGCTGCAAAACAAAGAACAAGTGCAACTTTTTCAGCAAGGTTAAGAAAAATGCTTTGGGCCTTATTCTGCATGCCAGTGGGGGATTTAGAAACCTGCTAGGATCCAAACTTCAAGGACCCAAATATCATTTTTTTTTTATGACAACCATGTCTTTATTTATATCTTGCTTCACATTTACATACAGAATATGTGAACATGTAAGCTGTCCAGCAAAAGTGACAGTTATAGGGGTTGCGACAAATCACATAACACTACACCACGGTGCAGTGTTTTATTCATATGCTTCTATGCTTCAAAGCTTTTAAAAAAACTGTTGATGTGACTACTTTAAAAAGTGTTAGCTGGGGTTGGACTTAAATCTGTTTGATGCTCTCCTTGGGAGGCACTGTTGAGAGGAGCAGTGTGCAGGGTAGCATGTCAAACAACTGCAGACCATGGCAGCTGTGTTGTGTGTAAGAGAATTATCCAACTTTCCAATGTCCTGCCAGCACAGGGAATTTTTACAGCACATAGCATGTGAAAAAAACAAAAACAAAACACATGCATATTTATTACTGTATATGCAGCCTGGGAAATAAAGGCAGCTTTTTATTTTGAATACTTGTGCATAAGAGACTTAACATAACCAAAATATAAAAATTTTGAGCACATTCCTGGAGGCACAATGCATTTATGCGGATTGCTGCAGGCACAATGCATTTATGCGGCAACATGATGAATGGACTTTAATGTTGAGGTGTGCATATATCCGTCCAGCTGGCTTTGCTGTTCTGTGCTCACAGCGTGCTCGCTCGTGCACCCCCAGCACAGTGACTGAGCTATGATAGAACCCCCGGGTCATGGATCTAGTTGGACGGGGCAATCACAGTAGTCACTTGATCAGGAATAGTGCCTATGACTCCTGGGGTTCAGGACCCCTTGAAGGGATAGCAGAAGCCAATGATTAAAGGAGAACTATGGGGTTAAGTCTTTTCCCCATAGTTCTCCTTAGGGTAATGGGAGGACACAAACTAGCGTCCTCCCGTCACCCTAGGCTCAGTATACCGCGAGCTACATACTGAGACGCCGCAGCTGAAGCGGATCCCGACAATTGTGCCTGGATCCGCCCAGCTGCGTGACTGACAGCTGGCTCTGCCTATCTAAAGGCAGAGTCAGCTGTACCCGCCCCCTGCCCCATCCGTTCCGCCAGTCAGCGCTGGCGGATCAGAGCGGGTTCTTTTATATTTTACCAAAAAATTGGGTAATAATAAATGTTTTATCATTTAATATAGGGGAAACTGTTTTTTTTTTTACATTTCGGTAATTTTTCCTTAATATAGTAAAAAAATAAAAACCCCAGTGGTGAATAAATACCACCAAAAGAAAGCTCTATCTGTCCCCAAAAAAGGGTATAAAATTCATTTCAGTACAGCGCTGCATGACGGAATAAATGTCAGTCAAAGTACCGCAGCGCTGAATACTGAAAAATGGCCTGGATGTGAAGGGGGTTTAACATCGCGGATGTCAACTGGTTAAGGTTAAAAACTGAAGTGTCTCTGCCCTTGCCAGTTTATGAGGGTTATTCTTGAAGGCGCCGAAGGGTTAAGCCAAAGCAACGGCTAACCCTTCGGCTCACTTTGGGTGCCAGTGCCCTCCGGTTCAGCCGAATCGAAGGGCTGCTGTTCAGGCTATTCATAATAGCCCATACAGCAGCCAAAGGGCTCAACTGAGCCAAAGCAGACTGTTCTCACTGCAAATGTGAACAACTGGGAGGAGTCAGCTGTGATGTCACGGCTGGCTCCGCCCAGATGGTGTCATTCAATGACAGCCCAGCGTCATCAGGTCATTTGAGGACACTGGACTGTCACTGAATGGCACCAACTGGGCAGAGCCAGCAACATCGTGGCTGGCTCTGCCCATTTGTTTTGATTTGGCTCACCCATAGGACAGGTGCTGGACAAATCAAAACAGATAGGCGGAGCCAGCAGTGATGCGCTCAATTGTCCCACCCCTTTCCTGCCCTACCAGGCCTGTGTTTGGATAAGGGTCTGGTTAGGAATTTTAGGGGGGGACCACGTTTTGTTTCCCTATTTGTGAGGGAGGGGTTCCTCCCTAAAATTCCTACCAAACCTAAAGGGCCTGGTATGACTTTGGGGGGAACTCTATGCATTTTTCTTCATTTTTAACTTGGGGTCCCTTCTAACTTTCCTACTAGACCTCCCGGGTCTGGTATGGATCAAGAGGGGGACACCATGCTGTTTTTTTTGCTTTTATTAACTTGTCATTAGGTAGCGAGCAGAATAACTGCTCAGCAGCATTCAGCTATTTACTCACTGCCATTCGGCCCCTATGAGAATAGGGCAAACAGCAGCGAGTGAACTGCTGGTGGTTCGACGGCCAATCCAGATGTTAGATCAGCTGAGTCGAACGGCTCCTTCACTTCGGTTCAGCGGAACATGCTGATCTTGTTCGGCTGAACCAAAGCCAGCTGATGTACTGCTGATTGTAGCCTATGCTAAATCTAATTCAGGTGGTTTTACTTTTTCTTCTTGTATGCCTATGTTTTCCATTGGCTGGAATAATTTATTTTTTCTACTGGATGACAACAAAAATAAATAAAAGAATTCCAGCCAGTTGGAAAAGGGGTGATGAGTCGATGTATCCAATCTGAAAATCAGATTTTGAAGGTAATTAGGTGTCTATAAAGATATTATTTTCTAGGAGCAGATACATTTTACAAAGGTGCCATAATATTTGGTATGTAATAAACAGAAGTAAATACAAATCCTTATCTGTAAAAGAAAATAACCTGAAACCCTTGTTTCCATTTACACGGTTTTTTTTTCTTAGTTACCATTTCTTATTAGATGTTACACCATAAAAAAAAGAGTTGACGTAACCTACCTTTCCTAAGAGAGACGAGGCTCCTTTCTAGTGCTGCTATTTTATTTTCCAGATTTGTAATTTTAGTTGAAATGGAAGCATCTGAAAAATCATGAATTGTTTTATTAATTAATCATTACTGTATTAAAACTAAAAAGAGAGAAAAAACATTAATATTCTCATAATTTGGAGTTTATATTCATTAAATACATGATCATGAAAGGATTTCAGCAGGTTATAGACATGATTTTTAATGATCTTTTAATCTGTCATGGAAGAAATACATTAGTTGCCATTGATGTCCTCCATAAGAAAATGCTTGTTCCCTGGTGATCATGCCAATTCATGGGCCTCAATGCTTTTTAAGTACTTGTGCAGACCAAGCACACACCAAGTGTGAACTTCTAATCTCCATACTTGTTTCAGGTATGTGACTCAAAAATCTAATTGCATGTGTGGCAGTGCATGGCAATGCCATTGTGGTATCTCCATTCCTGTTCCAGAATCTGAGTAGCCAGTGCATGCTGATGGCACAGGTGTGCACAGCCTTTAAATTAAAGGTGCAGGGAAGGGTTCAAGACTCCACCTGGGAGACAGGAAGGGTCCACCCAGGAGTCAGAGTGGAGTCCAGTGCAGCAGGGTGCTGTGGATTGAGAAAACCCCAGTGTGCAGGTGAGCACACGACTGAGGCTGTCTGGAGACAGTGGCCTGAGGCCGGAGCAGTGGTGCTGCAAATGTAAAGCCAGGAGGCTGGATTGGCATGTGCTGCCATGAGATGCAAAAGAACCCCTGCAAGGGTAATTGTTCTGTTTTGTGAACTTTCATTTAATAAAAGTGGGCAAGGAAGCCCTTGAATGAAGATTACAGCGAGTGGATGCGTCCTTTATGTGCTACCATTGGAAGCTAAATCTCACACATGACACTCAGGCAACTTTTATTTGCAGCTGGCCAGCAATGGCATTCTACGCATTTCTTTCAAAACAGATTTTCTTTGATTAGTATACTTACATATACAGTACATCAGTATCAAATATATATGCCTTTTCACAAGTAATAACCCTTACGTGTTATAAAAGTCATTTTGTCTGTCTGTATGGTTGAGTTTCTGCATTTGTATGGATTTGTTTCATCTACCTCTACTCTTGAGGATCCAAGTACATACAACAAATCAAAACACAGACTGGATCCAATTTATATGATTTGCTGATATTTAATACTGCCTCGTGCATAGTCCGTAATAAACAAATGTGAACCATAATAATTAACTTCTCTCATTTGCTTCCTTTTAGCAGGAAGTGTGTTACTAGCTGAATGTCAAGGTGAAAATAAAGGAAAACATGTAAAATAAAACTAATGTAACCACAACATCTACGGACTGGTAAGCTGCAATTTAAATTATTTGTCTTGGGTTTAGATACATTTTAAGGCTGGTTTTACACCTCACTGCACAAGTACAGTAGATGCTGATGAACCTGGACTGCAGTGCACTATAATGCACATACCATGTGGTGCGCTTCAGCTCTGGTTTCTGCTGCATTTGGTGCATTGACAGTACATACAAATGAATTGGCTGCCATAATGCAACCCACATTAACATGTATGCAGTAAGGCAAAACAGTGCTAAGGTGCGAAGGGAGTCTATGGAAGGAATCAAATCTTTGCGGTCCGTGCAAACGGTAATGTTGTACTTTAGGATGTGGTTGTGCTAAGGCAGGCCATTTATTACAAATACATATAAAAAAACTTACATAACCTTTTTTTATACAATGCACCTCAACCCACAGCATGTGCATTGCCTCCTGCTCTCATTGTGTTTTGGCATGTCATTCTAATTGAACAACAACAAAAAAAGTGTTGTATGTTGCAAGACATTTTGTATTATAATGTGCATGTTACCACAACACACAAGTCTAAATGCAATGCAAATTATAATCTGCATTTTACAAGTTGCTGTATTGGTATTTCTTATACCAATGGTTCTCAACCTTATTGAGACCAGGGGCAAGTAAATTATTTCAAAACCTTCTATACCCCAACATGGTCATTATAGTCAGGTAGATAGTGATTGATCTGTTGCAGACACCCATTCTAAACCTTCCCTACTCCAACCATAACAAAAAAAGTTTAGGTTATAAATACTTTTTAAATAGATAACTTATTGTCAAAAGAACCTTAAAAAACCTCAAAAGAATGACAAAAGCACACCATTTCAGTAGTATCCCACAGCAACTGGTCAGAATTCTGGTATTATGTTTTCCCCATAAAAATAGTAAAATTATTTAAAAAAAACTCCTTTGCTTATTTATGTTTGTATGTTTTAAAACAATTTAGCATTGTTTTCTATTATTTTTGTTCTGCTAAATAAATAACAACTTTAACCTGCCAATGCCTAAACGTGTGTTGTTGGCTGTGCAGTCATCAACTAGGTATGCACGTGTATTTATATGGAGAAGAGAGAACAGTGGGCAGATGCATTGAAGACAACATATTTTATCATTCTAAAGTTATATTCTGTTTCTTTCTTCTTTCATTTGGCTTTGTTTTAGCTTCATTTAAGGGAAAATGCTTTAAATATTAGCAGAATATGGTGTGGTGGTCTCTTAATAATGCAGTCTGTATGTTTATACTGTGTATATATTGGAAAATTTTAAAGAAATATTCTAGAAAAGTTATATTCTAACATTGCAAAAAATCTGAATACATAAAAAGCACAAAAATAGTATTTTCCTAAAATGGTATACATTTTCTTCAATGTATTAAATAATGTAAAAGTACATTTATCCAAGTATCCTAACCAATTATCCCAAGCAAAGGTGAGTTTTAATTGTAACATGTTGTTACCAGAAAAGTATGACTAGCCCAGGCAATCCACTTTCAAGAATTTTGAGAAGAATTGAGAAGAAAGCAATCCTATCAATGTCTCCTAGGGTGGCCATACACCTTACAATTATCGTTCAATTTTTTTTTGCACAAATAGCCCATCATGCACAGACCAATGTAGATTTTGATAATCGTTCGTCAGCAATATTAACTGGCCACATTTCGGCGATCGACAGAACAGATTTTAATTTGCGCATGTGTAGCGTACATGTTGCGATTTTTGTTGTATGAAGACGCCACCAATCCATCGATTTTTGTCCGTTTCAGCGAAAGTTTTCTAGTCTGCCCGTTCAACCAAATTCGGGAAGTTGTACAGTAAATGCGGTTGTGCACTTCCTATCAACTGGCTGATTATCGTACAAAGCTGGACGATTATTGAACGATACTTGTAAGGTGTATAGGCACCTTTGGGGTCCAGTGTGTGTGTGGGTGCTAAGTATATTTTTTCAAGAGTAGATGTCTCTTACAAGGTCACATTAGATTTCACAAACTATAAACATTAGTAAATATATATCCATTTTTGTGGGGGGAAAAAATATAGTACCTGAATCTCCCTTGTCTCCTTTTGTACCAGTAGCTCCTTTAGCTCCCGGTGTCCCTGGAATCCCTGTGGCACCTTTTGAGCCAGCCAATCCTGGAGACCCTGCTGCCCCTCCTGAACCTACTGGGCCTCTGTCTCCTTTTATGCCTTGTGTACCTTTAAGAAAATATTTCATTTTCAGATATATATTTCACATTTACATATACAGTAGATGCTATTGATCCGCTTAAAGGGATTCATATTGCTCACATACCTGGATCTCCTTTATCTCCTTTGGCACCAGCACTTCCCTTTATTCCTGCAATACCAGGAGACCCTGGAGCACTAGTAGCACCTTTGGCACCTGCAATTCCAGGAGCGCCTGAAGCTCCGTTGGCACCAGGCAGTCCTCTTTCTCCCTTTAGTCCTTGAACACCTTAAAAATAATCATTTTGAACACTTTAAACATCATGTATAAACATGGTAGAAATGACAAGAACCTGTTCTACTGTATAAACATTCCATGCTATGTTCAGATACAAACATCATGTTGGGGTTGTAGAATCAGCTAGGATAAGTTGACTTGAATAGATATATCAAATTTTTCAACATTGACAAGAAAGTCAATAAGCGAAAGTGTATATATTTTTCATGAATACTCCAATATGATTTAAAGAGAGAGAACTATAATATGAAAACTGTGAAATAATAACTACATAACGAGACTACATTTCTCTTACACTGTGTTACACTGAACATTTGAATGAAGTCTTCCCGGTTTACCTCATATAGGTTTTAACCAGTTTTCCTAAACACCAAATCAACAAAAAAAGGCTTAAACTTTTATGGGGACTGAAAAAAATTGCACAGTAAGGACAAATGGAATTATAATTCTTTTTTTGTGTTACTGCCTCCCAGCCATAAGCATTACATTTCTTGATGAGCTCCTATTATGAGTCAGCTTACTAACTGCTAATTTGGATCTTGAGGAAAACTTTTTTTGTTTTAAAAAGGAATGTTTCATGCTACTACTCCACTATAGCCCAAGATTTTCCACTTTGAGACAACAATCTACGATAACATTACAGGAGCACACCTTCAAACTTTAGTTCATGGTCAATAGTGTGGACAACATTGGGACCCAGGCTAATGCATTTTAGAACACTATGGATACTTAAATGGTTATTCACTAAGCTGCTGAAGGCAGCCGAGTGACTAACCGAGTCGAAGTGAACAGAGCCGAACGACGTTCGGCTATTCATTGCAGCTCAGTACGGCTGATTTCAACCGTACATCGGCTGAAATCAGCCATACATTGGCTGCCTTCGGCTGCCTTCTGTCAGTCGAACATGCTCTGCATGTTCGGGTGAGCCGAAGTGCAGAAGGACTTCGACTCACCCGATTCAACATCTGGAAATAAATAAAGATACTTGAAAAAAGGAAAACAATTCAGCAGAGCTAGCAGTGCCAGATAGCTGTGCCCAACTGGTTCCTATTAGCAGGCACCTGCTAGAGCCTTTTAGCAGGTCACGGGCCAATGAATAACAACTGACTTTTGACCCAGTGTGTTTCTGTTATCTTGAAGTAAACAGAGTGTGTAGGGTATCTTTGAGACCATGACATATCAGAGGAGTGGCATGGGCTTCTGACACGGTAGATGGAAGTGTTAGGTCCTCAACTGAAGAATAACATTATAAACAAAAGCCTCAACGAGATATAAGAAATCATACTATATAGCTCACAAATATTTTATAATCCATTTTGTGAAGAGTAAACATCAATAACTTGGCAATCATTTGTGCACAGTATTAAGTACTGTTTTATTTACCTGGTTCTCCCTTGGCTCCCTTGGTTCCTTCAGATCCCTTTGGCCCTGTAATTCCAGGTGGTCCATTTGTACCTGTAGCCCCTTTAGCACCTGGAACTCCAGGCACTCCTGTATCCCCTTTAGCACCAGTCACTCCAGCACTACCTTTGAGTCCCTGTGGTCCTATAAATAAAAAAAGGTAAAGGTTTATGATCCAGGTGTGTAATGGTGTGGATTTATATTTTCTGCTTTAAGTTAATATTGTGTTATTAGAGCCAGCAGTCATTTAACTAAAATTATAGCAACAACTGTGGCTGCTCTGGGGCTCCAGCAGTGTGTGTGTGGGTGGTGGTGGTGGGGGGGAGTTGATGGCTGCTATTCTGTGTCTGAAAAAGATTGTAACATTCCTGGTTCAGGATATGGATATGCTAAAGTGGACCTTTACCCCCTTCACTAAAAATCACATTGGCATGCAGCTCTGCATGCGGATTTAAAATCATCTTTCATTAGTTAAACAAACTTGTTTTTTATTTACTTACAAATAGAGTTCATCTACTTCCTGGTCCAGTTCTGGCACACATGATGTAATGTGCCAAAGTTTTGCATCTTGGGAAGGTTACATAAACAGAACATTGATGGGAAACCTCATCTGTAATCTCATGAGATCTCAGGGAAAGGCATTTTCCTCCCCTGAGATGATGTGCATGGTCACATGTCCTAGTCACATGTCTAGTCACATGTGCCAGAGTTCCAGGAAGTAAATAAAGAGCTAGTAACTTGCCCTTAGTTAACATGGTCACTGTCAGAAGACTGGGGAAGAAAAGAGAAATAAGGTATGCAAAGAATACAAAGTCGGCAATTATCTATAAGTATGTGTTTGTCGATTAATTACTAAACATTTCTAAAAGAAGTGTTTGTTGTTGTTTTAAAGATATGGTTAAAGTTTCGCTTTAACTTCTTCTTTGAACTTCAATTACACATTGATCCATGGCCAGAAACGTTGTACCAAAGCTGCTTTTCTTTGCTACAGATTATTCTCAACACAGTGGCCACTCAGCTTGCCCCTATTTCCAACTGACTTGCTACAGCTTGTTCAGTTACAGTGGCTGCTAGCATTACAGTGTATCTAAACCTAAAAACAAAAATGTAACATATTGCAGCTTACCAGTCCTTAGATGTGGTGGTTGCATTATGTGTTAGTTGCGTTTTCACAGTCCAGGCTAAGAACATTTTTAGCAAGTACAGAAAATACTTGTTGATCTTACCATAAATGCAGTGTGCTTGTCACTACCTGTGGGCTTGAAAGAAAGCACAAAAATCCTTATATTTATTGTGTAGACTAATAGTCCCATCAATCAACCAAACAATCATGTATTGGAGATGAACAAAGGCAGATACGTTTAGCCTTTGTGACAACCATGGCTGCACCCATAGATACAGTGGGTAAACAATAATAGACATGATGGGACATGCATTCTGTTATTTGCAGGATTACTAGGTAAAAAATAGGGAAACAAAAGTCTGGAAAAAAAGAAAACTACCACCACATCTAAAAACTGGTAAGCTGCAATATATTACATGGGTGTTTTAGGTTTAGATACACTTTAAGGGGTATAAGTAGAGTCCTTATAGTGTGCATTGCATACTATCTGACACTGATTGAAACCTTTTGCAATGGGACCCTGATATTTCTAGTTACATCCCTGAGTCTTGAACTGATATGCTACTAAAAACACTACAAACAGGAATCAATGTATTCTATGAAGAAAACAATAAAAGCTACAGTGACAGTGAATGCACAGTAGATGTATGCTATTTATGCTATATCACTAATAAAGGTATTGTTTAAAAGCAATAATAGTGACACTTGAAAAGCATTCATTACTGAAAATACTGTACCTTGATCTCCTTTGTCTCCTTTGGCACCAGCAGCTCCCTTAACTCCTTGAATTCCAGGAGATCCTGTTGCACCTGCAGCACCCTTCAGACCAGCAGCTCCAGGAGCACCTGTTGCTCCCATACCTCCTAATGGCCCTTTGTCCCCCTTTGGACCTTGCAAGCCTGACAAAATAAATATATTAAGGTCAATTAAACACACCACAAAAACAAAACAAGTTTTACACAACTTTAGCACATGTTGGTCTTAAAGTAAATAGAACGATTACAGTGAAAGGAAAGCTGAAATAAAAAAAAAACAAAAACAAAAAAAATTGACAGGTAGGATTTTAATGACAGAATAATGACAGAAGAGACACTGAATGTCTCTTCTGTCATAAATGCTGCCAGTCACATCCATGAGAGTTACATCATCCTGGCCAATCAAGATGCCAAAGATGCTAAACCTGTGCTGTGCATACTAGCGCATTATGGAAAACACCTCCTGGGGACCAAACTTTTCCAATGTTTATCTTGGCAGTCAATTATCACCTTGCTTTTGATGGATTTCAAAGATACATTATGGGGCATTACTATTGATCCTCTACATTTTAGGGGGTTGAATTTAAAGCTGAACTCCAGCCTTTTTGCCTGCACACATTTAGCAAGTCCTCTCCTGTGTTATCACTGAGTACTCTTGAGTTCCTGTAAACGTGCATCGCCACAACATTTCCCTTTGAAGCTGACTTTTAGCTCACCTTTATTTCCTGTCTGAATGATCTCCATCTTTCATTAATCACTTCTTCCCATGATTCTTCCCATGATTGGTATTGTCATTGGCCCCCTTCTCATAGCCTTTCACTTTTTCTGCCATCAATCCTTTTGTTCCCAAGCTTTATGTGAAAGAACTCATCTCCGGCATCCCTTTAGACGCTGAGGGCATGTGACCTGTTATGGTGCAGGAAGACGGGGGCTGGTTTGCCCCCCCCTTTCCTGCCCTGCCAGGCCAGTGCCCAGATTAAGGGTCTGGTTGGGAATTTTAGGGGAACCCCACATTTATTTCACCATTTTTTGGTGGTGGGGTTCCTCCTTTAAATTCCTACCAGACCTAAAGAGCCTGGTATTACTTTTCGGGGGAACACCAAGAACTTTTTAAAATTTTTACCTGAGGGTCCTATTTTTTTTATTCTGCTCGCTACCTCTAAGAGAAGCAAACAGAATAACCAAGCCGAATGCTGCACGGCACTACTGCTGTTCGGCCTGCCATGCCGATCCAGATGTTGGATTGCTTGAGGTGAACGTGTTCTTCACTTCGGTTCAGCCGAACGCGCTGAGGCTGTTTGGCTGAACGAAGGGAGCCGAAGCCAACTGATGAACAGCTGTAATCAGCTGGACATGGCTGAAGTGAATAGCCGAACGGGATTCGGCTTCCTTCACTTCGGCTGTTATTCACTCAGCTGACTTGGGCAGCATAGTGAATAATCCAATAAATTTAAGGGCTCCTCTTCACACGTTGCACTGGTTCATTACATTAATGATTAATGTGTGTGCGTTCACACACATTGTGTTAAGCCACCTGATTAATTTGAAAGGGTTGCCAAAGCACAAAACACACTTTTTTTTCTGATGTAGTTCACCACAATGCACAGTAGTGCCTTATTGTACATTGTAGTGTGCTGCAATGCAGGTGCATTGTTGAGGTGTGTGGAGTGCCATTCAATTTGAATGGTGATGCAACACGCCAACACACATAAGGTGAGTGACCACGCTTTGCAGTAATGTGCACATTACTGTTACCACAACGCAATTGTGTAAAGCTAGCCTTTGTTCTTCCCATCATGCATGCTATGTTGCTTCTTATTGATTGCGATTGCATCTAAATGACGCCATCAGCTGCCTCCATTAATAAACCTAATAGTTTTGGGTGGATGTTTCTTGAGTTTGCATAAGGACCCTATTAAAAATAACTACATAATATCCAATTTAATCATAACATAATTATAAGTCAAATGATCTAGTGATATCTATATTTTTCTTTCTTTCAGAATGAAGTATGTACTACATTTTTGCCCTTACTGGTTTTGAAGTCTTGTGAAACTGCAGAAAGATCGAAATTTAAGTGTGCTATTGTGTCTACATATGTTTTTTTCAGCTGTGACCCATTAGGGAGATTTACCTTTGCTTCCTGTCCTTTAAACACAACAGGAAGTGACTGGAAATCCCTTCTTAAACAGTTTCCACCAGACCAAGAGGTGTCTCCATGGAAAGACTTCCCCTCTATTCTTGTTCTGTGACAACTGTAAATATCTGGGATTATCCATCACAATCTTTCTCAGTGACATTGCAAATAGAGATGATGAATCTACCCAATGTGGATACAGACCAAAATAAGAGCAGAATAAGATAGGGGTTCCAACCCTTCTCTATTCAGAATTCAAAAGCATAAACGTTTTGGCTTAGACATACTTTAAAGCTAATTTTATGAGGTTGGAATAATTTCACAACATACCTGTATCTCCTTTGTCTCCTTTTGCCCCAGAAGCTCCAGTAATTGAAACTCCGGGAGGGCCGATTGTACCTTTAGCGCCTGGAGTGCCTGGAGCTCCTGTGGTCCCTGGTGTACCATTGGCACCTTTTTCCCCTTTTAATCCTTGAGGGCCTTAAACCACAGTGAGAAATTTATGTCAAAAGAGAATGAATATTAAGGCAAATTGTACATGCATGTGAGTTAGGTTATGTAATAATGTCATTATTCATATGAGTCCATCAAACAGAGACTGCTCACACCTGTCATTAAGCTTGATGGGGTGTGAGCTGCCATTTCATTTATTAAAATGATGCTGCTGCAAGTTAATATGGTGTGGGGCCTTCGTTGGTTGGATTCATGTGAGAATGGTAGATAACTAAGGCAGGTACCAGAAGCATAGCATTGGTGTTACAAACAAGGAATACTGTGATCATATTAGAGAACTAGAGCACTGAGTCATTAAAGTGAAAGAAAAAAATTGTAGAATTAAAAGTCAGAGCTGTCATCGATAGAAATCATATTTCTCGCTTAATTTCTTCATGCAACTGAATTGATTGCTATGGGCAACAGTCCTGTACTAATTTGTTTCAAATTTTGAATGGATAAACCCGAAGTCAAGCATTCTCATAGAAAATGTAATAAAATTTGGTTTTGGTTCCATTTTTAAAGTAATTGATTATTGGAATAAAAAAAAAAAATCACATACTACTATGATCAAAATGCAGTCTTCTAATGTATACAACTTCACAGCTAGTCAGAGGCAAATGGAAGATGTAAATAGGCAAGAAATGCAATGTTTTTCAAATGATAGCTTGTAAAATGCCACTTTGCTCTGAAAATGTGAAAATTGTTTAGACATTCAACATTTTCTGGATGCGTTAAATATCTCTACTATTGAGAAATCTGTAGTTTATCGTGCTGGAATGATCTTAAGAGATCCATAATGAAGGGCAATTTAATATATTACAAGGGATTCAGATTTGTAAATAGTGAAATGCAAATCCCTTCTGCGGTGCAGTAAACTCCTTTAGACTCCTTAAACGTTCACTAGTGGGCTTCAGTTTTTTAAGAGTGTGAGTTCCCCACCCCTCAACTATTAGTTGGTTAGTAGAACAGCTGAAAAAACAAAACAAAAGCAGGATCCCAAATTAGGGGACTAGAGATCTCCAGAATGGTTCCCTAAAAATGGCATCAAGCAGTAACTGCCCAGGGGTCCATATGAACCCTTTAAAGTGTGCAAGTGAACTGATAATGGGGATGATAGCTATGTGATGTTTTGGGCACAAGTTCTTCATTTACCAGATTTCTAACAAAATTCACCCACCACTGTGCTGTATGGCCGTTTACTGTATATTGTAAATATTGAGTTTATTGCTGACATCTACTGGTCATTAGAAGTAACATGAGGAATTAGTTTAGGAGAAAATACATGAGACTCCAGGAAGTTGCATTAGTAGTGAGAAGAACCAGCCTCCATCTTTCCATGTTTACAATAGTCCTCTTCTTAACCCTCAAGCCCGGAACATTAATTGTCTTTAAGGGACTAAACCGCTTGTTAGCAGGATTGTCTGTGTATATTTAGTTAGATGTTACCATGCTTATTTACTCAGGAATCTGCAGTGGTTGGTCTTTCCCACAGGGTTCTCTTTTAGTAATGAATAGTTGTCCATTGTATATAATGTTCACTGTATAGCGAAATGTGTTTTTATATTCCATTTTATATGTATTGCAGTTTCACAACATAAAGAACATATTCAATAAATGCAACTGCAAAAAAAAAGCCAATTTTTTTCTGCTTTGGTGTAAACAGAATACAGGTTAAAAATTTAGAATCTCATAATTTTGAACTGATTAATGGAAATGTCAAAATTTAGCCCACAATAGGGCAAATTGTTAAATAGGAAAACAATACCGAAAGTGGCTAAGTGGTTATTTTTTGATCTATTAGAATTTGGAAGTGTGTACTCTCTTCAAAGTAAATATAACTGTTTGGGATATATTGAGTGCTTGATTTTTGGAATACTTGTTGTCTCTGCTTCCTTCCTTCCTTTTTAGACCCTTTTTTAGTATTTAAAAACTATGTAATATCATGTACAGATCATATCTCAATTTTTCAAGTGATGATGTGATCTACAAACACTTCCATATACAATATATGATTGTTGTTTTTGTCAAATTGTTTTGATTGTTGGAACTACAGTACCATTCCTGTTTCACTAACATAAAATCTCCAATAATTTAACACATTTATGACAGATTTTTTTATCCTTCTTTCTGTATTAATAAACAAAATGTTAACATAATATACAGAATATTACATATACATATATTAATTAATAGAATAGAAATGCATTTAGGTTACCTAAAGCCCCTGTGCCTCCTTTAGCTCCGGGAGAGCCGATAACACCTGGACGTCCAGCAGGTCCTGTTGCTCCTGGAGCACCTTTAGTGCCTGTAACTCCAACAGCTCCTGTTGCTCCTGTAGGACCAATTAAGCCCTTTTCACCTTTTGGACCTTGTTGGCCTAAAGTGAGAAAAAGCAGAGATAAATAACTGACCCTAATTGCTAAAAGGGCATTAAAATCATTCACCTTAAATTAGAAAAACTGTAAATAATAGTGTGCTTTTGTGTGGACTTGTTGATATTATTTTGTGCTCTAAAGCTTCTCTTTTAAAATATATCTACATGGATATGCTCTGTCAGAAGAAATAAGGCTATTTAAAGAAAATCTGTACTCAGAATATGTAGGCTATCATTGCTAACCTGTCCTGAAAATGTCAGTTGCCGACTGTTGTGCTGATCCAATGGAATCAATACCTTCTTAGTCTCTGACCTGTAAAAGTATGTAGATCAGTTAAGGCCTTCACTTTGACTTTGTAATCTGCATGTTGTTCCAAGTGAGTTATTCAGAAAACAATGAGGACAGAACCATCCAGGCAGCTGGCATTCTTCAAAAGAAGTTGAAAATTGCTTCCGCTGTATTTTTTCACAGAACAGGTTTTCTTTTGACTGCCCATACCTGATCACATTTGGTTACACTATGCTATTGTTCAAAGTCATGTGGGTATATAAGAAGGCACCATCAGGTACTGCACTCTGTCAGCCTGAAATGTTTTACATAGTATGCAGTCCCTTCACACTCACCCTCTGATTTCTTTGCTTGCAGAATGCAGGATTCCAGATATGCCCCCAAGGCATGCCATAATGACAAGTAGGGCTGCAACCAACTAATTGATTACTCATAGATTATCAATAATGAGAATCGCTGCTAACTTTTCTCATTATCGATTTAGTTGATGTGGATCCCTAGTTCTCTCCTCCATGCTGGGAGCTGATGTTCCATCAGCTCTGTGTACGCTCTGAACCCTGCTGCTCCCAGTGGGGATCTGAGGGGACACAGAGCCCTGCAAACGGTGCCCAGCAGGGAGATTATAGCACATTGGAGGTGACAGGTTCTCTTTAAGGTGACATTAGGGGTTTAATAGACCTTAGTGTCACCCAGTGACATCCCTAGTGCCAGCCATTCTCCCCTCCCCTGGGCGTCGGCTGCAGTGGTCTGTGTACCCTCTAATCCCTGCTGCTTCTGCCAATACAGGCGGGGAGAGCAGCGGGGGGGATTGGAGGGGACACAGATCTCTGACAGCAGGCACCTGAAACCCACCTCCCGTCCACACTGGCCGGCAATGCCGTGCGTTCCAGTGCAGAGCAATTGTAAAAAATTGTGCATGGAATTTTATTCTGAAGAAAATTTTATGTTTGTAACACTCTATCTGTGTATTTTAAATTAAAGATGGTATTTTTTTTGTATCCAATTCATCAAAAAAATTATCGGCCAACTAATCGATATGAAAATAATCATTAGTTGCAGCCCTAAAAAAAGCATGGGCACCTCTCAGATTTCAATTACAGCATGCACAACCCCCACATACATTTCCTGCAATCCCAACTCTTTGTTGTCACTGTTGTCACTTTGTATAAATAGGTCTACATATAATATAAAAGGGTCTGTTTCTGAATGTTTTCACCTAAGAGTCACCCAACCCAAGATCCATAAATGTTTTACTCAAGACTTACACAGCTTTTCCTCAAAAGTCACACTTTTTTTATAAATGGATTTAACTGGAAACCTATGTGAGTCCTGGGTAAATGTTGTATAAATCTTGTGTAGAAACCTTAATAAATAGACTCCAAAGTGCTTTGTTTTATTCATTTGCACCTTTGTTTAATTCTTTTGTTCTATAATTTTGTAGTGTTAACATGTTTTCCTCAAGAAATCTGTAGTTAACAGCTACATTTACAAAAACAGCTTTTTACAACAGGGCCCACTTAGAATGAAATTCTATCAAAAACGTCTGTAGGAAAGGATTGGAATCTCTGTCGAAGTTTTATTGCTGTCTTTGTCTACACTGAAGATATTTTTTCCTGTTTTAAAGTAACCAGAAAAGAGAGTAAATCTACCAAAAGTGAGGAGAACTAGCACCTTTGGCATAAGTCATCAAAACAGATGCCCCTCTACTGTACTGGTGACTGTTGTCAAATGTGTCAGCTGTGTACTTTTCTGCCTCATGTCATTTCATTAAGAAAGAGATACTGCATTTTTAAAAAATGATATAGGACTGTGATATTAAACTAGATTTGATAACTGCAACAGCCATTGGCTCTTATATGTTAATTGCAATGGCCATCTGTAACATTAAAGATAATGGATATTGGAAATTGTTGTCTAGGAAGAGACATGATAGATTGCACTTAAAATAAATACCATTTGGATATTTGTTCTTTTTTAATTTCATTTTTTCATATAAAAAATGGTGAATAGATTCTGTGTGTAGTGTTCTGTAGTCTATGATACATGATCAGACTGTCTGTAGACACTTACTCCTGTTACCATTTTTTGCACTGTTTAGTTCTGGAATCTCAATAAAATGCCTCTTTCTCCAGGAAAAGAACCAAGGGTCATCATCATAAATTACCTGAAGGTGGTATATGTGGACCTTGACCTATGACACTGTGGGAAGAGGCAGTTTTGAGTACAATTTGGCCCGGGTACTAGAGTCTAGGAACATTGGGAAATTTTGGGTGGGATAAAGCCTTCATTCCTATATCCACATCTTACATGGATGCTTTTCCTCAATGATTGTGCAGCTGTGCACAAGTCCTTGTGTGTGTGAGCAAACTAAAGGTGGCCATACACTTTACAACCATCGCAAGACCTTAGTCTTGTGATGGTTGTAAAGTAATAAAAAAAACGTACGATCTGCCCATCTTGGACAGGCAGATCGTACTTCAGATCATCGCAAGCCCGGCCCCCAGATGACCGCAATGCTGAACGGGCAGTGTGCGCGTGCGCACACAGGCCCGTTCGGCATTTGTCTCCCGAGCATCATTCAAACCAGCCGAAAATTGTAAGATTCTCGGCTGGTTTTCTAGCGTGCTCCCTAGACAAAAGACGTGCGACCGTACAGTAGAAACGGTTGCACGTCTTCATTCAAACTGCACGATTCACACTGTACAATAGCAGGATTTCCCGCGATTCTCGTACAAGAATCGTGCAGTGTATGGGCACCTTAAGGCTTCTCCTATCTAGGAGACAGAGTGAGTTCTGCTGGGAACAGCAGGTGTGTATAGACACACAAGGAGTGTGTGTCTGGTTTCTGGCTTGAGAAAGAGGGGTTTTCACCAGATCGCCTGACAGAGACAAAGGTTGAGTGTGTAAGAACCAATATAGCCAAGAAATAAAAGAATCTGTTTGATGTGATTTCTGAAACCCCTGAACTTTTCTTATTTAGCAACTATTTCTATTTTGTCCCCTCAACCGAACACTGAATAAAGATGTATCTGGACCACTAAAATTAGTGTGGTGCTTCATTTCATAATCTTGCATTTTAATCTCATAAAACTTATATATCAAATGATGGTTTGTTACCTGGTTTGCCTTCAGCTCCTTTATCACCTTGATCTCCTTTCTGACCCTGCGGACCAACTTTGCCTGGAATACCTGGATTTCCCTTTAATCATGGGCTTCCCATTTCTCCAGGTGTTCCTAGGAAAAAGCAAAAAAATTAATATTATTATTATTATTACTTTATTCATTGATATTAATGGTTCAAATATTTACCCACTATGCATCTAAAGCTCTTCAATGTTGAATGTACATATGATAGAAGCACTCTGTACCTGCTATATAAAAACTTAACCCTTTGGATGCCGGGTACTGCTCCTTACTTTTACCTTAGGTGACCAGACCATTTTTGTTATTTTTCACTTTTTTAATGTTTCACTCTTTTTAACCTACAGCTTTAAAAGTTTGTAAAATATCCCGCAAACCATATATTTTGAGAAATCACAGGATCCTTAGAAAAAAAAGATGGTGCTGCTGATTTTGTACATGCCATGATAGTTGCTCAAATGTTTATCAAAACAGTATTTTCCATACAAAAATAGACTAAAATAATATTAGCACACACAAACACAACATAACCTACAACATTCCTACGAAAGCTAAAAGATAAAACTGTACTTAGTTAGTAAATAAATATTTCTAAACTTTTCAATTGTGTCTTTTTGTGTAATGGTGAAAAAGTTGTAAGTAAGCAACTTATGCTAAAAACCTAGAGGTTGGCTTCACAACTATGCACTGTGGCAATGCCCAGTCTGCAGTGCAGGTTTCAGTTTGTTGAAATTCACCAATTCTAGACATGATTAAACCTGCCTACTGATTACACATATTTGTTTTTAAGAGAGTCTTCAAAAGTTCTTCAATTTTACTGTAATTGCCACTAACAAAGTTAACAAAAACATTAATTTGCAGAACACCAGTAACTAATTTCCATAACCCAGTATCACCACTTCTTAACAGCAGCACTAGAGAGAATGGTGGGTGCACAATTCTAGATATCTCTATGATTAAGCCCATTATTGGATGAAACATGTTAGACTCGAGGAGAATCCATTGTGGGATGATATGTACCTGTGTGCTACAACAAATTCTTCAGCAAAGTTTGCAGTGTGTGGCCAGACTTTTTTTCTGTTAGTGACTATGCTGTACACCAGAGATCTGTTTAACCAGGTCTGTTTTATGGTTTTATGGCCAACCTCTTAATGAGATATTTTAAAACACTGAGTAGCTTGTCAATTGACAGATTTATTTTTAAGCGAAATGTCTGGACTCAGTGAATAACCCTGTTAGCAAAACTAGTTTCCAAACTTCACCCTGAACTCAAATTTTTGGATGATTAGATCGTAGTATGTGCTAAAATAAAAATATGGCTTCAGTTAGGAAACTGATATTATGGGAGGAAATATCATAAAGCATTTCAGCCCTCCTGTTTCACACCCTTGGGCATTTCTAATTGGGTGGGAGCTAGCTCAGTAACGCCTTCTAGAAAGCTCACAAAATGCTGCTTCATAAGGCAGCTGGAGTTCTCCTTTACAATCAAGAAAGAAACATCTGCCCCAGAGACTTTTTTTTTAGAGAGCTAGTCTCAGACCCATTTTATGTTCCATTGACTGAACCCAAAGAACCCAGGACTTTGCTGAATAAATTCATTCTTAAGGGTCTATTCACTAAGCTGCTGTAGGCAGCCGAGTGAATGAGCGACCTGAAGTGAAGTGAGCCTAACACTGTTTGGCTATTCACTTCAGCCTGGTACGGCTGATTTCAGCCGTATATCAGCTGAAATCAGCCACACATCGGCTTGCTTCGCATAGCTTCGGGTCGGCCGAACATGCTCGGCATGTTCGGCTGACCCGAAGTGCAGAAGGAGTTCGACTCCTCCGTCACCTCCGTCAGGCTACTCGCTGCTGTTCGGTCTATTCTTATAGATGCCGAACAGCAGTGAGTGAATAGCCGAATGCCGCTCAGCGGCATTCGGCTCGGCTGTTCTGCTCGGTCCCTCAAAGGGACCGAGCAGAACAGAAAAATAGTTTAAAAAGTAAAAAAAAGTAAATAGAAAACGATTGTGCAGAGCTAGCAATGACAGCTAGCTCCGCCCAACAGTTTTCTATTGCCCGGCGGTACAATGCTAGTTTACTATTGGCTATTGCAAATTGAAATAGCCAATAGGAATCTAGCAATCCATTCCAATGGGCAATTTTTTTTTTCTATTCTGACACGGCTCCGTGTCAGAATAAAAAAAAAAGAAACAGCAGTGTTTCTCTCCTTGGCGGCTGGGAGCGGGAGACTCCCGGAGCGCCAGGGAGAGTTAGCTGTTTGGAGATCAGTGTCCCTGGTTAGCAGGTAACCAGGGACACTGATCTCTCTGCAAGTGGCCGGAGCCAGCCATAAGATCACGGCTGGCTCCGCCCAGCAGTCAGAAGCAGGCTGTGGCAAGCTTGGCCAGCTCCGGCTTTCAGCGCGGCTCAGCCGAGCCGAGGCATATGCGTTCGGCTTGACTGAACCGCTCGGCCACGTTCGGGAGCTGTACAGGATATAGTGAATAGCCCGTACAGCACCCCTTCGGTTCTACTGAACCAAAGGGGTCCTGGGGCCGAAGCTAGCCGAAGGATTGGCCGATGCTACGGCTAGATCATTTGGCAGCTGCGTGAATAGACCTCTTAGTCTCTTTTGTATTTTACTTTTGTATTATTTGAAAGTAGTGGTGGGATCTGACCTGCAATTCGTCATCAGAGGGCACACAGACAGTGCGAGGGGATATGATTGCTGTCACAAAGCGAGTAGAAGCAGTCACAGGCACAGTCAAGGGGGGGACGGTAACAATTGAATAAATAGCTATGATCAGCGGCTTGTCAGACACTTATCATAGTTAAGCTCTCACGGGCAGAGCCCTCCTTACAATCTTGTCTTGATTTGTATTGTAACTAGGGATGCACTGACACCGATACTAGTATCGGTATCGGTGCTAATACCAAGTATTTGGGCGAGTACTCATACTCTATGCTGATTGGCTGGGAAGCCGGCTTTCTGGACAATCAGCATGGATCCAGCTTGTCGGCCAATCAGGATCCGGCTGTTTGGCCAGGAAGCTGGCTTGATGCTGATTGGCTGGGAAGCCGGTTTCCTGGCCAATCACAATAGAGCCGGCCAAACAACATGGAGTCAGCTTTCTGAATCCATGCCAGCGGAAGCACCGCTATCGGTACTCGGTATCGGTACTCCCACTCCATACAAAAAAAAAACGGTATTGGTGCTTTCTTGATTGTAACTGTAATGTCTTCCTTATATTGTAAAGGGGTTCGCAGACTGTTGGTACTATATAAATCCTGTATATTAAGAACAACAATAATAATATTAATATTTATTAATATTTAAGAGGCCATAAGCTTTAGCAGAACGTAATTCAGCTGTCATAAGGGTTACTGAACTGGCAAGCTGCAAGCAGTTCTGTTATGCCATAACCCTTTTACAAGTGGCAGTAAATGGGTTATTTCCTAGTTTTAACACAGTACAGGCCAAATTAGTAACCTTTAACATATCTGCCATTATGTAGCATTACCAGCAGTGCAACCGAAGGGTCTAAATGGATACTTCTCATGTTACTGATCATTTATCCTGGAAACTGATTAGTAGCTATCGGTTTGCAGGACACATCATGAATGCATTTAAAAAAAAACAACAAAAAAACAGAATATAGAAATAATGATTGACATCCATAAATAAATGTATGTCTTTCTTTAGCCATTTTATTTACCTAGTTCACCCTTCTGACCGGGCATGCCGTCCCTCCCATCTCTTCCATCTCTGCCATGCAGAAGTTCTTCTAGCCCTTGGACAACTGAGCAGACAACAGGATTTTCTGTACTTTGGCATGAAGCTAAGATGGCTGTCATTGTTAGAGCAGCCCACACTGTTATATAGAACCCCATTCCAAGAATGTACCTGTAAATAAAACCATTGTTATTGTTAAAATGAAAAAAGGATCAACATTACATTATTTGAATTTTCTGTCTCCTCTTATATGAGGTTCTATGGATTTGTAGAATATAAAATTAGGTTTATAATTAGGATTTGGTAGAATATAAAATATAGAATTAAAGGTTTAGTCCACCCAATGCTGTTGTAGAGTATTGTACAGTGTTAGCCATTGTTTAATGCAGAAAGTCTGGAGTTTAATGGACACCCTTTATTGGCTTACAAGCTATTTCAGATGCAAGCTTTCGTGGGAAATGTAAACCATCTTAAGAAGGGATGTATAAGAAATCCCCAAATCTTGCATCTTTAATAACTTAAATTAGCCAATAAAGGGTATCACTTAAGCTTTCTGTGACCACCAAATGTCATCATTGTGGTTGTGGATAAATGTTGATAAACTGAATTTCCAGTTGGCAAAAGTCTGAAACCTACTATAATCGCCATAAAATTAGTAATGTAACATTGAAAATCCAAAACAGAGATGGGTTGATAGCTGAAATACATGCAAAGTGCAATAATTATGTACAAAGTGGCAAACATTAAAAGGAAAAGTGAGGCATAATAGGATTTTGATTTTATTTATTAAGTGCAGATAGACTTAGTTGACAAATGCCAAAGAGATATATCGGTACATTGTAAACGTGTAACCTTCCTTACACCTAATGTCACCAATTACATTTGCCTTTAGTATGAATTGTACCTAATAAATGGGATGACAGTCCTACTGCATTGCAGTATGGGCCATAGTCTGTCTGGCTTGTAGTGGTTTTTGGCATCCTGGTATACTTTGATATACTTTGTTGGTATGAAGACATTGACATTTGTTGGTTGAAATCTTGACACTGTGAGGAGAATTTATCAAAACTGGAGCAGACAGAATCTGGAGAAACTGAAGAAATAAGCTGATTGGTTGCCATGAACAACTGCTCCAGATATTCTGTCTGCTCCAGTTTTGGTAAATAACCCATCCCCCCCGTGACTTTTGAGCACAGGAATTTTGGGTTTAAGGCACTCGGTATGTATGTTCCTTATTGAAAGGTTAAGTTAGGTTTAAATAAAGGTCTAGAGTTAGAGGGTTAAGGTGAAGAGTTAGGGTTAAAGCTGATTTCCAAGATAAGTAAATATTGTCTAAGTACA